TGTCCCCGTGGGGTGGAGCTGCCGGGTGTGCGGCCGCGCCGGGGCCGTGGTGATGTGTGACCGGTGCCAGCGCTGCTTCCACCTGCACTGCCACCTGCCCGCCCTGCTCGACGTGCCCAGGTACGGCACCCGGGGAGCTGCTGGGATCCACGGGGATCCAGAGGCACCTCCCTGGGATCCACTGCCCCTCGTCACCTCCCTGGTCCCTCTGGGAATCGTCCCACTGACTCCAAACCTCGTGGAATGTCCGTTCCCTGTCCGTGATCCCTCCGGGAATCCCTCCGACAACCCCAAAACTTGGGGGATCTCCTGCCCCCGACCCCTCTGGGAATCCCCCACTGACCCCAAACATCGCGGGGTCTTCTTTCCCCTTCCCTGATCCTTGTGGGAATCCCGTTGCTGGCCCCAAACCTCCTGGGATCTCCCGTTCCCACTGGCTCCCCGTTCCACAGCTCCGACTGGACGTGTTCGCTGTGCCAGGAGCTCCCCCCGCCCTCCGAGGCCCCCTCGGGCCAGGGAACCCCCGCCCGGCTGAGCCCCCTGGACCAGCAGGTGAGTCCTGGGGGGGGATTCGGGGGGATCCCAAGGGATCCCGGGGGATCCAGGGCTGCCCTCTTTCTCCTCCCCCAGAGGTGTGAGCTGGTGCTGCTGGAGCTGCTGTGCCACGAGCCCTGCAGGGCCCTGCAGCGCCCGCGCGGCCTCGCGGTGAGTGGGGGCTACCGGGGGGGGCTGGGGGGCTACTGAGCCATGGGGACCACCCTGAACACCTCGGGGGCTACTGAGCCATGGGGACCACCGTGAACACCTCGGGGGCTACTGAGCCATGGGGACCACCATGAACACCTCAGGGGCTCCTGGGGTTTGGTGACCCTTGTGGAGTTTGATGCTCACGGGAGGGGTTTGGTGGCCCAAGCAGTGGTTTGGTAGCCCCAGGGCACATTTGAAGACCCAAGCAGGGATTTAGTGGCCCCAGTCACGGTTTGGTAGCCCCTGACACCGTTTGGTGGCCACAGGAGGGGGGTCCCGCCCTGGACCTGACCCTGATGAGGGCGAAGCTGCAGGAGAAGCTGAGCCCCCCCTACAGGACCCCCGAGGAGTTCGCCAGGGATGCCTGGAGGGTCCTGGGGCAGCTCCAGGGGACCACCGAGGTCTGGGGGGTGTCTGGGGGTCCCTGAACGTCCCTGGGGGAGGTCTGGGGGTCCCTCTGGGCATCCCTGGGGAGGGCTGGGGTGGCTTGGTGGTTTCTCTGGGTGTCTGAGAGGGTCTGGGGGTGGTCTCTGAAGGGGTTTGGGGGTCCCTGGGGAGGTCTGAGGGTCCCTCTGGGGTATCTGGGGGTCCCTGTGGGGGTCAGGGGGTGTCTCTAGGGGGTCTCACCCTCATGTCCCCCCAGGACAAGGCGGGGGTCTCTGAGGGGTCTGGGGTGCTCTGGGGGTGTTCCTGGGGATCTGGGGGGGGTCTCTGGGGCCTCAGAGGGGGTGTCCAGCCCCCCTGACCTCCTGTGTCCCCCCCAGGACAAGGTGGGGCTGCAGTCCCTGCTGAGCGTCCAGAGGTTCCTCGAGACCCGCCTGAGCCGCGTCTTCGGGGACAGGAAATTCTGGGACCACCCAGGGACCTCTCTGCAGCCTGAGCCCCCTCCCCAGGGGGGCTGGGACCATCCGGGGTCACCCCTGGCATCCTGGGACCCCAATTCTGCTGCTCCAGGGTCCTGATCCCCCTCCCCGGGGTCCTGAAACCCTCCCTGGGACCCCAATCCCCCTCCCCGCGGTCGTGATCCCCCTCCCAAGGGTCCTCCAATTCCCCCTGGGACCCCAGTTTGTTCTCTCTGGGACCCCAATCCCCCCTCCCAGGACCCCAATCCCCCTCCCCAGGGTCCTGGTCCCCCCTCCAGGACCCCAGTTCTGCTCCTTGGACCTATAAAACCGCTCCTGGTCCTTCTTCCCTGTGGGTCAGGATCTGCCCGGCTGTGACCCCGGGGGGGTCCTGGCAGGGACCTGCAGGCCCTGGAGAGGGAAGCCCAGGCTGGAGCAGGTTTTTCCCGGGTAGGACTTGCAGCCCCTGTGGGGGACCCACGTGGGTACAGCTCGTTCCTGAAGGACTGACCCCACGGAGGAGTGACCCACGGGACAGCAGGTTGGGAAGAGCTGCTGCCTGAGGGTTGGACCCACGGCAGAGTCACGGTCCATCGAGGGGAAGGACTCCAACTCCTCTCCCTGAGCAGCAGAAACAAGAAGGGACTGTAACCCCCGTTCCCTGTGCCCCTGCACCGCTGGGAGGGGTGGGGGTAAGGTGTTCTTAAGACTATTTGTCAGTCTCTGGTTCTTATGCTGTCAGTAATAAATTTAACACCAACCATCCCCACTTGGAGTCTGTTTTGCCCGTGAAGGTGATCAGTCACTGACCTCTCCCGGCTCCTCTCTCCACTCACGCATTCTGAATTGCTTTTTTCTTCTGTCTTTGTCCGGTTACGGAGGGGAGAGTGAGGGAGCGGCTTTAGCGGGTACCTGGCCAGGGTCAGCCCAGTACAGAGGGCAAACTGGTCCCAGTGCAGCCCCCCCCGCGGAGATGGTGGCGCCCAACAGAAGGCGGGGCCTCAAGCTCCGCCCCCGGGCGCGGGGATTGGTCGGTGGGGCCTGGAATTGCCGAAGTTTTCCGGAAAGAGCCGAAGGCACGAGCGGCGCCGCGCCCGGTTCGTCG